GTCCCCTTGCGACGCTACTCTGTCTAAGGAGTTGGTATTTAACCGAGCTTTGTCTCGACCAACTTTCCTGGGAGTATATACCTAATAATTGTCTATCATGTGTTGGTTTAATTTGTTTGTTAGGCTTTAAATTCCCCTTTTGCCAAGTGATTACAATTTTAGATTAATTAAAGAGTAGCCTCAGCATCTTTAATTTACTAAAATTGTCTAAGGTTTAAAATACATAAAGATGGCAATGATAATTGTCTAGTGATCTTATAATTTTAATGAGTTGGGGAGTAGCCACAACATCCTTAATTAGTTAAAATTATATATTAAGCAGTTTATCTTGATCACATACAGTTTTGGACATATCATTTGTGATTAATTGTATGTAATATGATGGAATTTAGCCCACAGGCAATTTCGTTATATTTGTATAGTTAATCAGGATGAAATACTGGACTACGGTCATAATTTAGCCCAAAGGCAATTATGTATCGGAATGTGGTTTAGTAGTTTTATCAGTGATGATAGAAATAAATTAATTTTATTTACTTTATGGTTATTTGTAAATAATTCTCATCTCTATCATAAAGTTTAATTTTATGATGTAAATTTTTAAATCATATTTCTTAATTTACCCACAGGGATTAAGGAAATGAACATGATTTCTTAAGTTTTTTTATCATAATAGTTGTTGTGAATCTTATTGAGTAAAACTTTAGCCTACAGGCAAGTTTTATGTCACTTGATTCTTCAACTTATTTGATAATTGTTTCATCATAAAATTTCAGTTGGATCTAATTGAGTAAAACTTTAGCCCACAGGCAAGTTTTATGTCAATAAATCCTTTAACCCATTAGGTAATAATTTTATCACAATTTCTTAGAATTTATAAATTTAGTTCAATTATAATTCTAAGTTTCATGGTTTGCATTGACAAAACATGTATTTAGTCACTTCCCAAAATTTAGCCGCCTTTATTAATTGCTTCACGAACTTACTTGGTTATTTGGATCAACTATAGTAAGTTATGTGATGTGATATACCTCGTTTGGATTCCAAGACTAAAATATACCTTTTGAGCCAAATTCTAACTTGGTTTTGGAAGGTGTGTTTTATTATTTTAGTATGTCCAACTAATGGTGAGGAATTAATATCTTCATTATTTAGTTGGACTTTAATTGGAACCAAAAATTGATTATTTAGTATGTCCAACTAATGGTGGGGAATTATGTCTTCATTTGTTAGTTGGTCAAATCAATTACGAGTACGTATATCATTAATTTTGCTAAAGAATATCTTAATCAGTGGGAGTGATCATTTAGAAAAAGATCATTAAGATACTCCATAATCAGTGAGAGTGATCATTTAAAAAAAGATCATTAAGATACTCCATTAAAGATTTTGGATTTAATTGACTTCATGCATCCCATATTGGATTGTATGTAAAACAATAAGTCCAAAAGATTCCACAAGTATTAATATTGTATTTATTCATATAAATTCATATTGGTTTAGCAACATATTTATGAAAAATGTTGTAACAATATTGAGGAGTTTATTAGAACAAAACATATAACTTGTGGTGCACTGTTAAGTAATAAATTCTTCAGCACGCATTTAATAGTCTTTAGTTTCTTCAAAATTGATCCTGGGCCATTTTGGTTTGTAAGGCTCAAGACAATTTTGAGAAACATAAAAGTAAGACTCATAATGTTCAGTTCATTTTGAGGTGGACCTTAAAGATTATTTGGGAAGTTATGGCGTATGTTTAAGATTCCAAATTTATGTACTTAGAGTTTTGGTTTATTGTTTAAGTTATTGGAATGCTTCTGTGACTTGACTATCTTTTGGCTATTTTGATGAGTGGGAGTGACAGACGTGTCAACTCCAAGCTTTTAGCCGTTAGAGGTAGTACTTATGTTAACTTATAAAGAAGTTATGGAATATATAGTTAGCATTATGCTAATTAAGAGATCTCTACTTAAGGCATGCTTTTAAGGATATTAGAGATCATACAATGTACTCTTTTGTACAATTTGGATGATTTTCTCTCTTAAGTTGCGCATATACATTTTATTTTGAGAAACATCCCTTCAGGTACCAAGAATAAACATTGGGTTTGTTCATAAAGGATTCAAGTTGGGGAATCAAATATGCATGTGATCATAGGAGATATTACTCACTTATTCAGTAGAGAACATATTACTATGATTCGTGTGTTTTGTTCTTTAATGCGAATTGTGCTATTACTTGCACCAAGTGGGAGACTGTAAGACTTTCCCGTATAATATATATTATATATTATGGGTCTTACTTATGTGGTGCAAGTGGACTAGGCCCATTAAGTAATTGGTTGGGGTGGACCTTTAGGTTTAAGTCTTATATCCACCAATGTGCCTATATAAAGCTTGTATTGATGGGATACAAGATACATGAATATTATATGGTACTCATACTGCTCAGAAAATACCAATACACCATCTAGGGTTCTGAGTCAAGTATGAGACAAAACGGCTAACCCTATTCTGCAGATATACAATACAACAGGATATCAACTATGGCTGGAGATCTACAATGCTTCCGCTTCCGCTGCTACGAGTTAAGTTTCTCGTAGATTATGCTTTGTATATTTAAATCTCAGAAATACATCTCATAATGTTTGCATCCTTGGTTGTATAGAGTTCTGTAGATCTTCTTTTTCTACATAATAAAATAAACATCATTAGTGTGGAACATTCATTAATTATCAATTATAATAACAAAAGAGAAATGAGATATCATTCATCAAAATAAATAAAAATAGGTTTAAACGATTACTTGTGGACTTGGACAAGATCATACAGAAGATTTTGGAGAGCCCGTGTTGAGTTGCCGAGGTTCACCGGAGAAAGTAGGCTTACCGGAGTGATTGTGCGCTTTGACGGAGTGCTGCTACGCTCCTCTTTATTGTACACGGAGGAAGGTTACTATGCAAATGATTAGGAAAAGGAAGAAGACTAGAGACGATGGGAAAAAGAAAAGAAAGGAGGTGAGGCGATGGAGAAGACAGATGAAAGAAGGAGCTGAGGCAATGGTGAAAACTGGACCTAGAAGGGGAAAAATGTGTTAAGCTAGATTCAGACTAATGACCTTGCTTAAAATTACCCTATTTTTTCACCCATGTTATTCCATATCTCTATTTAGAGAATATTGTTTTTCATTTCTCCAAAATTGTATAAGAAGTGGAAGAATAGAGATGAGATTAAAGTTGGAAGAAGAAATTTAATAAACAACTTCTCCAATTTTTATTTTTTCCACTTCTCAATTTCTCTATTTTTCTGGAAAATCCTCCATTTTTTTAAGTTAGTAAACGACACCTAATTAAGTCTCTAATAGAAGAGACTAAAGAGAACGAGAGAAGACTTTGAAAAGGACGCGATTGCGCAAATGACTCAAGTAATTAGGGTTTCCTCTTTGCTTTTTTATATATATATATATATATATATATATATATATATATATATATTCAACCTAAACCACATCGTATAACATACATATACATAAACTCTCTCTCTCTCTATCTCTATAGAGAGAGAGAGAGAGTTTATGTATATGTATGTTATACGATGTGGTTTAGGTTGAATATATATACATATACATACATATATATATATATATATATATATATATATATATATATATATATATGTATATGTATATATATTCAACCTAAACCACATCGTATAACATACATATACATAAACTCTCTCTCTCTCTCTCTCTATAGAGATAGAGAGAGAGAGAGTTTATGTATATGTATGTTATACGATGTGGTTTAGGTTGAATATATATATATATATACATACATACATATATATATATATATATATATATATATATATATATATATATATATATATATATATATAAAAGATATGGGAAATTCTATTCACACCATCTATTTTACTATTTGCACCACCTATTGAATAGGTCAAACCACTTTATAGGTGGTGCTAATTAAAAAATACTTTTTGCACCATTATCATTTAATGTGGTCAGACAAATATTTATTTTATATATTTTTTTTACAATCAAATTATTAATAAAAAAAAAAAAAAAAAAAAAAAAACTTAAACGCTTCCCATTCTCAATCGAACAACCCCACTGCAAACACCGGACCACCACCGCCAAACACACATCCAACAGATGGACCAATTCAGAGGCCATGAGCGCCACCATTGCAGCCACCAAGAACAGACGGAGACCACCCCAACACGGCCGGAAAAAACATGGACCAGAGTACAGCCGGCTGAGCTCACCCACGCCATCACCAACACAGTCCCACCTCCAGACGCCATTGCTGCCTTCTCCGTTGAGAAGGCATGGGCATGTCCATGGCCTTCTCACCGGAGAAGGCGATGTTTTTTTTTTTTTTTTTTTTTTTAGTTTTAAAGAATTAAATTTTGGATTAATTAATTATTACTTAAATCTAATAAATGTAGTTTTACTAAGGTGGTGCAAATAGCATTTTGACCACTTATTAGACTATTTGTACCACTTATGTATTTATTATAAATTATCACCTTTTTATATTTTTAATGTACTTTATATCTCATTTTAGTTAAAGGTGATGCAAATAGCAACACCCATCAGATATTCAGACGAGTTGGGTGAGTATTTAAAACCCCAACCCAATTATCATTACCGACTTTTAAAAGAATAACATGTCGGATTACTACATTCAAAAAAAACATGTCGGATTACTCATATCCGATTCGGCCTCAAGAATGCAAAAATTTTCCCGAGTTTGGAGTCCATCGGATTTCTCGGATTCTGCACAGCCCTTATCCTAATCCCAAGACAAATTACAACAAATTAATGAATTGGGTTTTGAAGCGCAATACGAAAAGATATTGGGGCAGAACTACAGACAACAAATTCTCTAACCCAGATGGTGAAACTCCCAAATTGGCTTCGACCTTTTCTTCTTCCCTTCCCAGGACTACAGATTTCATCATCTCTGCGATTCTGCCATGCATTTTTCACTCCACCCTCCACCTTCTCTCTCTTCTGCCTCTTCTATCCTACTTCCTCCTTTTCCTAAAACCCCCACCTCCTTTATCAAGAACCCCGGCAATTTTCATCCATTAGCCCGAAATATAGCACAAGAAAAGTCTAGTCTTGCTGAAAATCCAGATAAATTAAGCACAAAACATGCATTTGTTTCAACTAATCAAAGCGAAATTGAACTATCCGAGGAAAATAGCTCCGCACACGCAATCTGGGTGAGTGAAAATTGCGAGAAAAATGACCCTGAAACAGCGAGAACTGTTCTAAACCGCATGTTAGACAATGGGGTTCAACCCAATGTAGCGATGTTCACCACAGTGATCAACTCGTTCTGCAAAAAAGGACGGTTGAAACAGGCATTTGAGGTTTTCGAAAGCATGGGCCGAGCTGGTTGCGAGCCCACAATCAACACGTACAATTGCTTGCTGAAGGGGATGTGCTATGTGGGGAGAGTAGAAGCTGCTTACGAGACGTTGAAGACCGTCAAGAAATCCGCCCTGAAACCGGACATTTACACTTACACGGCGGTGATGGATGGATTCTGTAAAGTCGGCAGATCAGACGAGGCCATGGAATTGCTCGATGAAGCCCTGGAAATAGGGCTGAGCCCTAGCGTAGTTACTTACAACACTTTGTTCAATGGGTACTTCAAGGAAGGCAGACCTCTGGATGGGATTCGATTGTTGGAGCAAATGAAGCTGAAGAACTGCATCCCTGATTACGTAACTTACAGCACACTGTTACATGGGTTGCTAAAATGGGGCAAGATTCGCGTAGCATTATCGATCTACAAGGAGATGCTGGAGCGTGGGCATGATGTGGACGGGAGGATGATGAACACATTACTGAGAGGGCTATGCCGGCGGGGCAGGATGAATGAGTGGGTGTTAAGGGATGCGTACGAGGTGTTCGACAGAATGCGCGAGAGAAAAATTGTGGTTGAACACCGCGCATATGAGCTTGTGATTGAAGCCTTGTGTAATGGGAAGGAGGTAGACAAAGCTCTGGCAAGTTTGGTGGAGATGGTTAGAATTGGGTATTCCCCAGGGAGATTCACCTTCTGCAATGTCATTCGTGCGCTTTGTGCAGATGGAAAGGTGGATGGCGCCTTATCAGTGCTAAGCTTAATGCATAGACGCTCAAGATTCTGGGTTGGAGTTCCTCCATATAACATACTGATCAAGGAGCTGAATCGACAAGGAAGAGCATTGGATGCTCGCAATGTGTATGCTGCTGCGTTGAAAAGAGGATTATTGGTGCCAAGGAAGAAACCTATTCAGTTTTCAGCTAAAGCTCAGGCTCCTCATATTGCAAATGGTTAGATTCTATTGCTTTGTGAGATTTGCCACGGATCAGATCTATTAAGACTCTGCATTCACCGAGTCAAATGTTGGTGCGCACAAGAGATCTCTGTCTCTCTGTCCACTTTGGTTATAATCCTTACACTGCCGTTGCCGTGTTTCGAACGGTCTCTTTTTCAAATATTGCTTACTAAACCACTAAGTTAAGTTCATGTCAATTCTTTCTCCCTCGCTCTGTATTATTGTAATTCTATCCCTTTATCATTCTTGTTCCATTTAGGACGCTTCTTACCTTTTTAAATAGGTCTCTTCATGTTTCATGTATCTTGTAAATTGTATTGTTTAATAATAAATTTCTTGTCATAGTTTCAGACTTCGATGGTATGAGTTTAGATTTTTTTAGACTGAAAATGTTTGAAAAAATATAGAACAAATACTATCTTGTAAAGTACAAAGTAATTATAATAATAAAATTATTCTCAGAATTATAGTTTTTATCGATGTGGCAAAACTGTGTAAGGAGTTTCAACAAGAAAGTTGAGGAAATGGAAGTTAAGATTATTATTTTTAGGCTAAAGTGTTATTTCGCATCATGAATCATAAGCGATTCTTCTCATAACTACTGTTTCAATCCATAAACCAAAATTTTTTTGTCGCCATGTAAACCTGATGGCGTGGAGCCGGTCATATATGATGTAGCTTTATTAATTAAAAAAAAAAAAAAAAACTCATCTCTTTTGCTCTCTTTCTCTCTTGCTGTCTGGACAAAGAAGGAACAGCAGTGAGCTCCGTTGTTCCCTTTCGACGAAGCAAGCAGGCAGCAACGATGGCTAGCTCCCATCCCTTCTTGTGCTTCTCTCTTCATCATTGCCCCCTCTTCCTCGTTAATGGCAGCACGGCGCCAGCAGCAAGCAGATCCGGTGACTCCTTGGCATCCTCTAGTCCAGCATGAACAGATTCAGCAATACCAATGGACGGCGATGGTTGGCGGCTTCTAGAAGCAGCGACGGGACAATCTCCGTTGTTATTGTTGTTGGCGGCGGGGAGATCAGGGTGAGTTTGACCGTGGAGTTGTTGTTGTTGTTGTTGTTGTTGTGTGAGTGTTTCTGTGTTGGTTTTGGTGTCTGTAATGGCGTTTTTTGCGTGTTTGAGGTTGAAGGCGTGGCGGAGGTGGAAGGGGAGGGGGTGGTCGGAGAAGGGGAGAAAGGGGTTGCGGTGATGAGATTTAGCAGAAGGATGTGGGGAGATCGGAGAGTTCGAAGACACCTTAGGGATTTCCGAAGCTTCGTCGTACAAATGTTTCACGAAGTTGTCCAGGTTGTTGAAGCAATCTCCACCGTCCTTGATAGCATTCATCGCCGCCGTTCTCAGTCGCAGTGCATTAGCCCTCACCTCCACTCCTTTCTCTTTCAGGGCTTTGCTGAGTAAACCAGCCAACAACTCGTTATGCTGTGCATCTGTGTGCATCATGCATGGTGCACACGAATGCAAAAACGACGTCGTTTTGACATCGACTTAAAAATAAATCAGAATTGCATAACTACACATCCATAATTTCATAACTATCATCCAGAATTGCATAACTATACATCCAAAATTGCATAACTGAACATCCATAACTTCATTACTATACATCCAGAATTGCATAACTACACATCCATAACTTCATAACTATAAATCCAGAATTGCATAACTTTATAACTATACATTCAGAATTGCATAACTACACATCGATAATTTCATAACTATAAATCCAGAATTGTATAACTATACATCCGTAATTTCATAACTATACATTCAAATATTATGCACAACATAATGTTGTTGACGGGAATCAAAATTGATTTTTTTTTTTTTAAAGTTGGACTCGTGTTTTTAGTCAAAACGACGCCATTTTTGCATCCGTATCACCATGCATGGTGCACACGGATGCACAGCATAATTTCCCCCAGCCAACTCATCCGGGCCAGCCCAGAGGGGCGGTCAACATGGGCACCCGCCTAGGGCCCAATGTTGAAAGGGGCCACCTACCTTGGATGATAAAGTTAAGAGAAAAAATTTTCTTGTATGAGCAGAGATTTGAACCCACAACTTCAAAATTATTATTTAACATTAAATTCACTTAACCATTACAATCATTTAATATAATAACTAGTATTTGTCCCGTGCGGTGCACGGAAAATATGTTATAAAAATATACCCTATATGAGGTATATTCATATATAAAATTTTTGTTATTTAATAAATATTATTTGTGAATTCCTATGATAAAATTATGAACATAAATATATTTACAATTAAAATAATATTTAAGGTGGGTGATTACTACAAATCTTAAACTATACTAAAAATTTAGTACATAGTATTTAATATTACAAATTTTTAAGAACTTAGTAAACTACGATAGTAATTGATTACAATTTTAGACTCACCACGGATCAAAATTTTTAGACGTTTGAGATTTCTAACTCTAGATGTAGCAACATACAATTGACTTTTAAAGACCAAACAATCACAATCTTACTTCGAACATTGATTTTTTCTTCCAAATACTATCGAATTAAGTGTGTAATCAATAAAAGATGATAACTAATAATTCGAGAATATAATCTTAATGTTACTAAGCCTACTTCACGTCAATTAAGTTGGAGAGTATTGTTGGATAGTATCCGATGAATCCACGAATAACGCATCTTTGTCTCCGTAGTCCTCGATATGCACATCAACAATCTTAAATATTAGGCCGCCTAGCTATGCTATATATTAATTTCAAACTTATGGACTTTGGGGTTGGACGTGTGGTGTGCATGCATGCTTCTTAAAGCCATATGGTCAAGTGAAAATTAAATGTTGTTAATACCAACATTTAACCATTAATATCAACATTTAATTTTCACAAGACCATATGGCTTTATTATAATTAAGATTCAATTAATAGATACTTTGTATATATTAAAGAATATTAAATTAATTTATAATTAAACTTTATATATAGGACCAAGACTATGTGGTCTAATGGTACTCGGGTTGGACTTCCGTTTGGAAGGTTGTGAGTTCAAGCCTCAGTCGAGGCATGTAATAGAGCCAGAAACATTCAAAAAAAAAAAAAACTTTATATATAGCACTACTCCAGAATTAGTCTAACTGGTTTTTTCTAAAAAAATAAAATCTTAAAAAATTATATGTCAATAAAAATTCAAAGTTATCATTGATTTTTTTCAATTATATATATATATATATATATATATATATATATATATATATATATATATATATATATATATATATATATATATATATAGGGAAGGGTTCAGGTGCGGGTATAGCTTCCCGTGCGGTTGTGCGAGTGATTAATGTTCGTGAGGTTTGTACTTAGTGTGCGTGAGTATTGTGCTTAAGGTGCATGAGGTTTGTGCTTAGAGAATCCACTATAGAGAAGATTTGAAAGTTAATGTCAGAATTAATTCTCTCAAGTGAAGAGCAAAGCTGATGTGGGAATGAAATAAATCAAAAAGAATCCTCCTGCAACGGTTGAGATATTTCTCTTCCCAAAGAAAGAGAAATATTATTTTTATTGTTTTAACTTTTTTTTTTATAAAATATCAAAAATAATTAATTATTTTTAATTATATTTTTTTTTATTTAAGTAATTAATTTTAATTTTTATTTTATTTTATTTTATTTTGTTTTACAATTACCGTATAGATTTTATAGTATAGTTAACTTTTTATTATTTTTCTTTTACTTTGTTTTACAATTCATTATTTTTTTATTAAAATTATAAATTTATAAATAAAATAGATAAATAAATAACCAAAATATAGTGTATTAAATGGTGGGTCCATAAAAACTGAGAAATAACTCAAAACTGATCTGGAGAAGAGTTTTTTATGATTCTTCCAAAAGGCCGAGAGTTTTTTATGATTGAGTGAGATAGTGGAGGATGAGGTGGATGCTGAGACCCACAAATAATTGAGAAATAACCCCAACTAATAAGGATGCTCTTAATGTGCGTGAGTGTGTAGTACTTAATGTACGTGAATTTTGTACTTAAGGTGCATGAGTCTGGTGCCCAAAGTGCGTGAGTTGTGTGCTTAATGTGCGTGAGTGTGTTCTTCATCTATAGGGATATTAATAGGCATCTCAGTCTGGCTTAAGTTTTTAACAACTCACATTAAGTACACACTCACACACATTAAGTACAAAATTCACGCACCTTAAGCACAAGACTCACGCACCTTAAGCACAAAACTCATGCACATTAAGCACAAAACTCATGCACTTTAAAGTTTCAACAACTCACATTAAGTACACATTCACGCACATTAAACACAAAACCCACGCACCTTAGGCACAACACTCACACACCTTATGTACAAGACTCACGCACATTAACATTACACACTCACGCACATTAAGTACAAATCTCAGGCACATTAAGCACAAGACTCACGCACATTGAGTACAAAACTCACGCACATTAATCAACCGCACGGGAAGCATTCAACCGCACTAGAACCTTTCAAAATATATATATATATATATATATATATATATATATATATATATATATATATATATATATATATATATATAAACATTTTAACTTTATATATTAAGGGCCCTTGTTTTTACTTTGCCCTGAACCTATAAAATGATAGAACCGGCCCTGCAACTCATCCAAGTCGAGAACGACCTTCTCACCCTCACTCACTCTTACAGCAACTTTACAAGAGTTTTTAGTGCGACTACCCAAAGAGAATTTAAAGAAACCAACTAGCATCAATGTTAGGTTTGATTATTGCGAATTGAATGCTTGTGGCAATTTATATACATATAAAGGTCACTAATTTTCATCCAATCAAAAGTCTTTATTTTCCTGCTCATGAAATACTACACAGTTTTGTATTTGTTTTATTTATTATTATTATTATTATTATTATTATTATTTTGCTCATACAAATCTAGGAATGTCCCGCCTAATTTGGAGTTATTTTTTATTATTTAATCATATCAGATTTCAGAAGATATGATATTTGCGTGAAATTTTTATCCTAATTTTTAGGTTGTTGGCCTATTGTAGAGTTGGTATGAGTATGACCTTCTTCATACTATGCGTGCATTCTAAGTTTTCAGGGGTATGGGATTGCTGTCAAGTCTATAGATTTTGCAATATAATAATACGTATAGAGGTGATCTCCGGAGCTATATATACAAACACAATGAGACATAATTTTCCAAGTGTGCGAAGAGAGAAGTGAAACCCAAAACAATACAATTTACAGTAAGCAGTTCCAATTTGCAGTAACCATCTCTGAAGGATGTCTGGCCAATTCATCCATGGTGCAGATCTTCATCCACAGCTTACTACGAAGGCAGTTAAGTTGCGTTGTGTAAGGAATTATGTTGTCACTAAAACAAAGGGAGAAAACAACATAAGAAGCCAAGAGTGAGTGTTCGTGGATGAACATATGTTATTCCTACATTACCTTCATATATATTTTTTTAAGCTTCTCTTTAAGTGTTGCTAGGTTCTTCTAAATATGTTATTTTGGTTCTTTGAAATATAGGGTATGTTCATCCATGTGCACATACCTAAGGACATTGTATGTAAATACAAGAATGAATTCAAGGAGGGGCAAGTTTTGAGATTAGGAATTTCCTATGTATCACAAACTTTTTGAAATGCAAAACAAGCACTTTGCGTTATATGATAAAGTTTAAGTATGACACTCTGGTGAAGCAATATAAGCGTATCAATTTCCTGAAAACAATGTTTCAGTTCAAGAGTTTCCTACTATACTTTCAAAACAAAATGTGGATGAGAAAGTTTTAATGGGTAAGTGATTCACAACCAAAACTGTTATCTTCAAATTGCTTGATTTCAACATACAAAAATATCTTATATGACATAATGTGTTCTTAACATAGTCCTATGTTTTTAGATGTGATTGGTAAAGTTGTGGAGATTTATTCCCCACTGGAGAAGGTAATAGCTGAAAAAAAAAAAAAAAAAAAAAAAACTAGGTTGATAGACTTTGTCCTTGAGGATATGAGGTAAGTTTTGCTTCTTTATTTTCCACCTCTGTGTATTACAGTTAGTAATCTATATATTACATTCTGTATGTCTAACTTTCTTACAATTATGTGTGCAGTAAAATTTAGATTAAGTGCACACTTTGGGATGACCATGTGGATCAACTTATTCCTTATTTCAACCAAGATGTTACTGACCCAGTCATACTTTTGATCCAATTATGTCGTGCTAAGTTTATGGATAGTACGTCTAACTTAGTATTTACTGCACACATAATTTGTGTACTTACTTATTTAATCTCTAATGATTGGTAGATGGTGAAGTGCGCATACGCAGCTCTTTCGATGCAACTCAACTGTTTTTCTCTCACCCATGTAAGGAGTTTGTTAGATTTAAGAGCCGGTGAGTGTACCTAGGAAATCTTTCCTAATTTAATGGTTGTTTCTTAATGAATCATTAAGTGTTTTGTTGGTTTGTTGTTTTAGTAGCTTCACAGGTGACTCAACTCCATTGCGGTGTATTGATTCCTCATCTTGGCTTGGTGTTGGTCTTCCTAATGGTAGTGGTACTTCCAAGGAAGTGTTGGTCAATTCTATTGAGGAGATATACAGTAAAAAACATGTAATATGGTTTTTTGCGTATAACCTATTTCTATAGAGAATATAGTTACCTAAAATGTAACTTTAACTAAATATATATTGCTGGTTTTATCACTTAAGGTAAGTATCTATGTCTTGCACTAACAGTAGCTTTACTGCGTTTTCCTGGGCAGTTGGGGGAGTATTGGGTAGCTGGTCGAATTGTTGGTCTTGAGAGTCTATGTGATTGGTACTATATCTCTTGCAAGGGAAAGCTATCTGAGGGTGGTGGGATGCTCTATTGTCCTGGGTGTAAGAGCTATTGGCAAGAAGGAATTGTAAGGTATAGAGTGATAGTTCGTGTTGCTGATGAAACTGGAGATGCTCCTATGCTTTTATGGGATCGAGAATGTGCTGATTTGGTTGGTATAGCAGCTGGTGACTTAAAGGACAACTATCTTGGGGTATGCAAATTTGTTATTATTATTATCTTCTTACCTGATTTGTGAGGCTAAATTTTTCACACAGTAGGTGTACTTTAATTTTCCTAGGGTAATAACTCTATTTCAACGGAGCAAAATCAAGTGTACAACACCATTTTAGAATCAGTCGCAGGCAATAATGTAGGTTTGTTTTTCGTTTACGGGTATGGTGGTACAGGTAAAACATTTGTGTGGAAGACCTTATCAGCTGCTCTACGCTCAAAGCGTAAAATTGTTTTGAACGTGACGTCCAGTGGAATTGCTTCGTTACTCATGCCTGGTGGTCGAACTGCACATTCCCGTTTTGACATACCAATTGCTGTGAATGAGGATTCCACTTGCAATATTTCACAGGGGAGTGATCTAGCGGATTTAATAATTAAATGCAGCTTGATTATCTGGGATGAGGCACATATGATGCCACAAGCATTGCTTCGAAGCGTTAGATAGGACAATGCGAGATATATTAAGATTTGATAATCCATCAACCAACTTTCCATTTGGTGGGAAAACAGTTGTTCTTGGAGGTGATTTTAGACAAATCTTACCGGTGATACCAAAGGGTACCATGCAAGATATTGTTGGTTCAAGTATTAACTCTTCTTATTTATGGAGTCATTGTAAGGTATTGAGGTTGACTCAAAATTTGAGGTTGCAAAGTGTGGGCTCTACTGTAGAAAGGATAAACCTTGCTGCTTTTGCTAATTGGATTGCGGCAATAGGTGATGGTCAGGTTGGTGGTCCAAATGATGGTCATGCGAAAGTTGAAATCCCTCAAGAACATGTGTTAAAGACAAATAGTGATCCAATTCGTGCTATTGTTGAGAATACATTTCCTAGGTTTTCTGAGCATCAACATGATGGCAATTATCTAATCGGAAGAGCAATTTTAGCACTGACACTTGAAGTTGTCGATGAAGTGAACGAGTATATGAGAAATATGAATGCTGCAGAATCTCAAACATATTTTAGCTCTGACTCAGTTTGTCCGGTGGAAATCACTCCTGATTCAGTTGCCGCTCTTCACACCCCAGAGTTCTTAAACAGGTTAAAGTACTATAGTGTGCCTAACCATTCATTGACTTTAAAAGTTGGGTCTCCAATTATGTTACTGCGAAATATAGATCATTCCGATGGTTTGTGCAATGGGACAAGGTTAATCATTTCTAAACTAGGAGACCACGTTGTCGAAGCTAAAATTCTATTCGGAAGTAATGCAGGAACAAAGGTGTTGATTCCTAGATTGTCATTGACTCCATCAGATCCAAAGTTACCATTTAAATTTCAGCGGAGACAATTCCCCTTGATGTTGTCATATGCTATGACAATTAACAAGAGTCAAGGTCAAACATTTTCTACAGTTGGCCTATTACTAAAAAAACCTATTTTTGTTCATGGACAACTTTATGTAGCGTTGTCAAGAATTAGCAATCCAAATGGTCTTAAGTTACTTATTTACAATGACAATGGAGAATATGTTTCTTCAACATCAAATGTTGTATATAAAGAGGTATTTAATAATATATAAACTTTGTATGTTATTTCTTTTTTGTAACATAAATTTATATATATATATATATATATATATATATATATATATATATATATATATATATATATATATATATATAGGGACGCACTCAGGTGCGAATAAGTGCCCAGGAAGGAAATGCGAACGAATCAGCGCGTGACATGTGTCCAGATCTAATAACTTAAAAAAAAACGCGGTGACATTTTCGTAAATAATTGAACATCGAAGTGCAAGTAAAATCTCTTATAAGTGCACCTATTTTCACTTATAAGTGCATGTAATTTTGCCTTTGGTAGGGAGTATCCCGACCGACATAAGCTCCCGCCACGACCGACTTGCCTTTGTCTTTCTCTTTTGATCCTTGCAGGTAGCAGGTCGGGCTTTTTCCATAGAGATCCCGGTCGGGAACGGCCGGAAGTTGCCCGAACGCTGGTGTCGACCACCGAGCGGTAGCCCTTCGACGAAAGAGCTGGCACAAAGGACGCGTGGCGGCTCTTCATGGCGACAGACAGGGCACCCGGGAGGATGACACGTGGTGGCTACGTGGAAGACATGCCGAGCAGCCGGAATCTTGTCCCCGGCACAGTGGCTATAAATGCCCACAGTAGCTACAGTGGAGAGGACTTTTGGACGATCGATAGGTTGTTGTTAGAGAATCCCGACCGCACTCAGTCGGTACTCAGAGCAACCAAGTAGATTGTACTTAGGGCCTTTACCGTGATCAATAAAGATTTTACTTGCTTTAATTGGTCTCGTGTTATTTTATATTGCTTACATATAATTAGCAGTATCATTTTGGCGCCGTCTGTGGGGAATCGTACGAGAAACCAACGTCTTGACGAGCACCCGGTCTCTATACCAACATGTATCCGTGGGCACACAACAACTTTGCCGACGACCAGGCGGACGCGGCGAGCTCCTCCGACCACTATGCTACCCAACAGCAGGGTCAGACAATGGACCTCAACCTCAACCTCTCACCACCGCATCCGTCAAATACATACCCGGCCGCCCAGCAGCCGGTGAATTACATACAACCAGGATACCCAACACCCGGTCTGCCATACCAGCAGCAGCCCATGATGTATCCCGCCCAGTATCCGTACCCGGTCCCACCTCCACCATATGGGTATTGGCCAGGACAACCGATGTGCTACACTTCCCCGGTTGGTTATCCACCATATACGCCTGCCTATACAGCTCCAGCCGCCGCCCCTCCAGTACAACCGACCGCACAAGTAGAGCCGCAGCGTCAGTCCACATCCCGGGCTCGACACTCGGCTCATTCGCGGTTGGGGTCGGGGGGTGCTGATGCGATGGAGGCACCAGTTCAGGCCGTTCAAGCGGAGGACCCTGAAGAAGTTGCCCGAGCGGTAGCTTTTGATCGTCTCCGACCAGAGATGCGCCAGCGTTTGGGACCCCAAGACCCGAATCGCGGGCAAGAGGACGTACAAATGCAGGAAGCTAGCCACGAGGCTTCATCCGGGTATAGCGGGTCGAGATCTCAACGACGGCGACGCGCTCGGGATACAGCCCAAGCCGCTCAAGCCGCCGAGCTCAACGAAACCCGAGGATTGCTCTACAACCTCCAGGCTGAAGTTGCGCAGCTCAGGAGTGCGTATCCTACAGCACCCCCGGCCGACCGATCGACCCTACACCAGACGCCTTTCACAGCAGCGGTAATGGCTCAGCCTTACCCGCTCGACTTAAAGGTCTCGGGAGAGAAGAGTTACGACGGTCGGACAGATCCTGAGGCCCACGTAAATGATTTTTTCAGCAACATGATGCTGAAGGGCGTTTCGGACGCCGTGATGTGCAGAGCCTTTTACTCGACCCTCACCGGTCGGGCAGCAGAGTGGTTCCGGACCCTGCCCCCGGGGTCGATCGACAAATTTGAGACCCTGGCGATCAAATTTGTGAGGAAGTTCATTACTTCCAAAGTGGTGAGGAAGTCCTATATGTACCTCGAAAAGGCCAAGCAGCTCGAAGGGGAAAGCTTGACCGACTTCCTCATCATGTGGAAGGCAGCGGTCGGGGAGGTCGAGCCCATGGACGATGCGACCGCCACTCACATGCTTCACATCTCCCTCCGGGCGGGGTATCTGTACCAGGATTTTATCCTTCACCCCCCGACCACCTATGAGGAGGCCCTCCGAAGGGTCACTGATTATGCCAACGCAGGTGAGGCGAATGCCGTCAAGCGCTCGCAGGAGGTCGGCTGTTCGTCCCGTAAACCGGCCAGCCGGGCAGAACATCGATCGGGAGATGACAATCCCCGACCCCGCACCAGGCATGGCGAGTTTACGGCCTTGAACCGATCCGCAGCGGAGGCCATGCAATATGCCCAGTCCTGCAATCTCATCAAACTTCCCCATCCCGATCGAAACGGCCCTGACAAGAGTAAGCATTGTGCTTACCATCGATGCGCCGGGCATGACACCGAGGAGTGTACCCACTTGCGCCAATTATTGGAAGATTTGCTCAATTTGGGAAAATTAGACAAGTGTGTGGGGAAGAGAGAGGAAAACAAAAGGAACACCGATCGGAGGGATCATAGACGTTCCCATCACCGCTCTGATCGATCTGGGCAAGACAGAAGGGATGATCGTCATGATGACCGACGGGACCCCGACCCTCCGTCCGGTAGCCGCCCGTCCGGAAAGCCTACCATCCACGTCATTTTTGGTGGGCTGGAAGACGCTTCCCGACCGCGGACTAATTGCCCGGTTGCAATAGTGGATTCCCGGGGAACCGGGAAGAGGCAGAAGATGGAACCCATAACCTTCACCCTTGAGGACCAACCTACCAGCAGTGATCACGGCATGGAGGCGCTCGTGGTCACGATCGATGTTAAGGGGACAGACGTCCAGAGGGTTATGGTTGACACGGGCAGCAGCGTGAACGTCCTATACTTGGACGTGTTTGAGAAGCTTGGCCTTGACAGGAAGGAGCTGACGCCGGTCGGTGTACCACTGTCAGGATTTACCGGGGCTCTTATTTACCCCGAGGGAAAAATAGCGCTCCCGGTCGAGATCGGCACACCTCCAAAGTCGATCCAAACGGAGCTGGAATTTGTTGTGGTCAACCTCCATTGCGTCCACAACATTATCTTGGGCCGACCCGCCATCATGAAGATCGGTGGGATAATTTCTATGCCCCACCTGTGCATGAAATTCCCCACCCCTAACGGGGTCGGCGTGGTCCGTGGCGATGTCCAATCCGCCCGGAAGTGTTACACCCGAGCGGTTAATAGACGTGATTCCGGTCCATCTTCCTGGGTGAACACTATAGCCAAAGAGGAGGCTAAGGAACGGAAGGAGCAGCCCGAGCCTTCCGAAGAGATAGAAGAAGTTCCCCTGTCCAAGGACCGCCCTGACAGGAAGATTAAGATTGGCCGAGCCCTCACTCCCGAGCTCCGAGCGGAAGTTTTGGCCGTACTTCGGGAATACGCTGATATCTTTGCGTGGGGCCCCGAAGACATGCCCGGGATCGATCGGTCGGTCATCTGTCACAAGTTAGCCGTCGATCCCGCAGCAAAGCCGGTCGTGCAGAAAACACGACACCTTTCCTCCGATCGCCGTGAGTTTGTCAGGGAGGAAGTCAAAAAGATGGCGGCAATCGAGCACATCCGTCCGGTGATTTATCCCGAGTGGGTGGCAAATATCGTTCTTGTCCCGAAGCCCCCAGCTTGGAGGATGTGTATCGACTTCACGGACCTCAACAAAGCCTGTCCGCTCGACCCGTACCCTCTACCGAGCATTCATCAGATGGTCGACGAGACGGCTGGGGCCGAGTTAATGAGCTTCATGGATGCCTTCAAGGGGTACCATCAGATCATGAAGCACCATGAAGACGAAAGTAAGACGGCCTTCGTGACCCCGGATGGGCTGTATTGTTACCGAGTGATGCCGTTCGGTCTGCGGAACGCAGGAGCTACCTACCAAAGGATGGTCAACATGCTCTTTGCTGATCTACTGGGCCGAACGATGGAGGCTTACATCGATGATATGCTGGTCAAGAGTCGGGACCGATCCGACCACACTCGGGACCTTCGGGAGTGCTTCCAGATCATGAGGAAGTACCAGTTGCGGCTGAACCCGACCAAGTGCACATTCGCGGTTCAGACCGGCAAGTTCCTCGGCTATATGATGACCAAGAGAGGAATCGAGCCTAACCCGGCCAAAGTAAAAGCGATTCTGGACATGCAGCCGCCTTCCACCGTTCGGGAAGTCCAGCAATTGACCGGTCGGTTGGCAGCCCTCAGCCGGTTCCTCTCCAAGCTAGCCAAGCGCGCTTTACCTTTCTTTAAGGTATTGCGGAAGGTTAACGGATTTGTCTGGGACGAAGAATGCCGAGTGGCTTTTGACGAGCTGAAGGAATATCTCATGTCACCGATCGTGCTCTCGAAGCCCGAGCTCGGAGAAGAGCTAGACGTGTACCTCGCCGTGTCCGATCGCGCAGTAAGCGCAGTGTTGTGCCGAACCGATCCGGAAGGGGTCCAGCGACCGGTGTATTATGTAAGCCACGCGCTACATGGTCCCGAGCTCCGGTACTCCCGGCTAGAGAAGGTCGTCTACGCCTTGTACATTGCCGCGAAGAAGTTGGCTCCCTACTTCCAGGGTCGAGCAATTCGCGTGTTGACCGATCAGCCGATCGGTCCAGTCCTCCGAACTGCTTCATCATCAGGTCGCCTAGTCAAATGGGCGTTAATGTTGACCCAGTACGCGATCGAATACCGACCAAGACCGGCTATTAAAGGTCAAGCTCTTGCGGACTTCTTGGTTGAGTGCACCGCCCGGGATACCCGGCCTCCTGAGGTTGCGGATCCCGAGGCTGAGTGGTGGTCGTTGGCTACTGACGGGTCAAGTAGCAAAAAAGGAGCAGGGGGAGGAGTAGTAGTCACGAGCCCAGAAGGATTCAAAGTCTATTTTGCTCTCATGTATCAGTTCCACCTGACCAACAACGAAGCCGAGTATGAAGCATTTGTAAATGGCTTG